GTTCTTGAGTGTAACCAGTGGTTTAAACTTGTTGTAAATCCTCTGTTTCCATTCATATACACAACTATTGACTGTAGATCTTAATAATGAAATGCCTACCCGCTTGGGTGGATGTTATAAAAGATTGTCCCTTAATCATGGAAATAATTCTGTCATCATTCACTTCAGCTGTCTTCTGTGGTCTTTCAGACCTTTTGGTGTTGCTGAGCTTCTTGTTAAAAATGTATATGATTATTAATTTGGCCGATCTTAATGTTTTCTCTGTTAAGTTTATTTTAAAATATTTTTTTCAACCCAATAACTGCTTGGTTTTCTTGCACAAGAACATCTTTTTTAAATGTCATATTGACAGATCCAGTGATCAATGATCAACCTGAAAATTTAACATTTTGAATCAATTCCAGATGCTTTTTGAGGTTAGTTTGTAATAAAATTGTCTTTCAGGAGTCAATTTACTTTTCAACTTGTGAAAATGAGGACTTTGTGTAAAAATAGCTGTAAGTCATGAATAGTTAATGCAGTACTTTTGTTAAACCTCCTGAATTAAAACTGAAAGTCTGCCCTTCAGCCACATCTTGATTTGATGTAAAATCCACTGTGGTGGTGTATTAAGCAAAAACCTTACAGATCTTGGTTTTGGATAATCTGTGTCCAGGTAGAGCGTGCAGGAGGAAAAACATGATTCCAGCTTACTCCCTCTGAGCTCTCTGGACAGTTACCTGTGATATTCATGCATGGACTCAGTTGGGTAATTGTACAGAAGCTGAACTACGTAGCATACAGTCCTAATCGCTTAATTTAGCTATTCATAATGTTTCCTAATTTAAAATGTCTAAAAACTCCCAAAGCTGCAGTTCATTAGCACAGATTTTGATGACTAAAAATAACGTAAAGCCTCAAGCAAAAATTAAAAAAATAAAAATGAGTTAAAAAAATAACACTGATTTGTGTGTGGGAGTGTCGGACAAGGAGTGGGAGTAAGCTTCTGTCATCCACTGCTTTAAACAGACCAATCACAGAGCCCCGAGTGAGAAATCTGCATAAAAGCATTTTACCATTTTTTAATTAGACAGACAGACAACCCAACTTTGAACTTTTCTTTAGTAAATATAAATTCTGCACATTTACACCTGTGGATACAAACTCACTCTCCACAAATCTAAAAACTCATTATTCTGAGTCAACATTATTTCATAAAGCACCAAGACACTTTAAATCCTACTGCCTTCATCTATTCAATGAGAAGATTTTTCAATTACAAAGTGCAACAAAAGAAACCATGACAACTTGCACCACCACCTTTATGCTGTCTACTGACATTGCTGCCTTTTGCATCAGAAACATAAGTAGCCACGACATAATTACTATGATCAAAGTCATCAGAGAGCCTTTCCTCCCCGAGACCCTCCTCTGCATTACTGCGTTCCCATCATTCTCACACCTTCATACACATTCTTGTTGACAGGTCATTTAGATATCTCTTCCACCCGACTAACGCTGATTACAGGTTAGTAATAGTAATGCCATTGCGTGTGAAACATGGAGAGAGATAGTAGTCATCCCTGGAACCTGAAAGAAATGGAAAATTGCAATTCACAAGATGGCATCGGCATACAATTATTAGCAGAGAAAGAATAATAAGCCTAAGGCCTAACCTTGCTCTCCAGCTGAGCCTATCAAAGAAGGAAAATAGGCTTTTGCAAGCATTAGTGGACAACTATACGACTGAACCTAAAATTTCTGTACCTGCACTGCAGCTACAGATACGTTTCAGAGTTTATTTGATGTTCCATTTTCCGCTTACTGCTGAACCAATCACTGCACAAATAAAAGAGCAGTGCAGCACACCGGCGAATTCTGTGCATGCAGTTTTCATGTGTTATTTCTTCCTGTTAAAGCCAAAACTACAAGAAATGAACAACCTGTGGGGCCTCCTGGCAGGTCTGAAGACTCAACAACACTTTGTGTATTACAGTCTCACAGCACCACTGCCACTGTTAGCGAGGGCTAGCTAAATTAATGTTCGTGCTGGTGTGCACCATGCCTTTGGGCACAGCTTCACCTCCACTACTGCCTCCTCAGCCATTACTGGAAAATATTCATGGATTGGCCACGCTCTATTAGGCTGTCACTGGCTTGGGTGATTAATGAGGCTGGCACATGTGAACGAGTAACTGACAGCAGGCTGCCAACCGACCAAATGACTGTGTAAGCTGACAAAGAAGGGTGGAGCTGGTGCAGTAGGAGCCAAACTCGAATGAGTTTCAGCTGATGGTGCTGCTGAACACAATCCTCGACCAACACACACACAAATCCAGGCATAGTGCCATTTCCTGCATTTTCTGTTGAATGAATGAGGGTCACATGAGAGAGTGCAATCAATACAGCCGAGTCATGTCCTGGACCGTCTCCTGCCTGTTGCTAATGTATAATTCCAGTGTGGTTACCTCCTCGCTTTCCCGCTCCACACTCTTTCATATCATCCAAGAAGCACACTCCGCTCTCCTCCTCCTCTCTCATTTCAGACTCCCCTTGGTCTCTTCTATCTACCTCTCATCTTCCCTCATTCTCCTTCTTCTCATTTAATTTCCTTTGCAGTCATCTCTTAGCTCACTGACACAGAACAAGAACCTCCCCACCAAATCCCGCACCCACTCATACAGCCAAAGGGAATAAGAAGCGCAATGTTAAAATTAGTTTATTTTCCCCAAACCCGGGTTTGGGGAAAATAAACTAATTTAAATTGCATAACTAATTTAAATTTAAATAAACTAAAATAAACTAATATTGGTGGCCACCAATATTACAGGGATAGAGTGCCTAAAAGGTTTACTTGTTATCATGGTTCGCACCAGAGCGGCATTAATACGACTCTCTGTGGAATAAATGTCACAGAAACAGGATTTGATCCCTGAACTGGAAAAATTACTCACAGATACAGGAAATATGTAGGAAAACTACATATTTCACCCCTTAATATTTATTTATATGGGCAAAGTAGGTGCAGGTAAACCACAGATAGAAACACGGGATTGTCTTTTAGTAAGTTTAATTAATTTATATCATTTTTCATCTTGGAAACTGTTTGACTGTTTAAAATAACAAAAAAATCCTATTTTTTTTTTTCTGTGATTCATTTATTGTCCCCGAGTTTGCATAAAAAAGTGAAAGCCCCCCCCCAACAAAAGTAGCATGTTTTGATGTAACACGCCTAGCACACATCTAAGAGGGAAAAAACTCACCTTAGAGGTTATGAATGAAAGGAGACTCCAAAGTATAGAGCCAAAGACAACCAAAGAGAGAAGTTGAAAGCGAGCAGAACTGAGAATTGAGATAGGCGGGGTAGGCAGCTCACTGTGCCTCATTGCCATCTCTACTCTGTCTGACACATGGTTGATATCTGCAGCCTATTTCCTGTCTTCAAAGGCTTGTGCTGATTAGAAAAAAGGTTAGCTGGTGCCACTCAGGGGGTCACGGTGCCTTTGTCTTGGGAGTTGTAATTACTGCATGCTGAACTAGAAGAGGGTGGGAACAAGCCATGATTTAATCTTCCTCTCTATTTACAAAAATAACTTCTCTCAAAGAGATTTTCAATCGTTTTTTAAGGTCATTCAGCTAAGTATCTTCAGAACCTAACATGTCTCACTGACAAAGGGGGCGGTCAGATCACTGGTTGTTAGAGCTGCAACCTCTGCCCTCACTTTCCTTTTGTTTCTCTCAACGAGATGTTTTGTTTAGCGCAAAGTGTTTTAAGAGTGCACACACAGTCTTACAGAAAACGCAGCGAGACTGAAGACTGAAGACAGTTTATACATCACACACAACATAATGCGCTAAATCATTATTTAGTTACCTTAATAAATGACAATGATCTTGAAAAGGGAGACGAAATAAACGCAATTTATTTTTGGGACGCAGGCGCCGGGCGTGCCGCTGTGAGGGAGTTGTAGCTGTGGAGTGCAGCAGCTGCTTTAGAAGGAAACGTGTCGCAGGGTGAGATGTTGATAAAAGCTGCATCTGTTGCCAGAACACAGTCGGCGCGTGTGCGAGATGCCTGTGCGCGCTAACACGTGTTAAAGGGTGGCAGACGTTAAACAAAAATGTTTGCACTTTGATGGCAGATGTAGGGGAGACAGTTTGCGAGTCTTCTCCACAGGTACGTGCGATTGTATATTTTGTCACAAGCAATGCTCCCTCTAAGCTGGGCGCGTGCGCAATTGCGCACTGTTGGCACGGTCTCTGCGCAGAAAAAATCTGCGTTGCGCACAAAAAAAAAAATTCTAATCTGAATTGGAATTAAAGTAAATACGTTAACAATTCTGTTTTGCAGTGTTAGTCAGTAAGTGACTGGCTGCTCCAGTATGGGATTACAACGATGCCACCTGATCCCATAGTCCAGTTATCTCATAGTGGACAGAAATTATTTTTTGGAGTGGCACAAAACACCTTGGCTGCATTTTTAGGTAAACAGCTGCAAAAAAAACTTTGTTGTTTGCAAAACTCAGTAACTTTTTTGAAGAAGTAACTATATAATTAATTGCCCATCATTGGTCTTTATATACTGTATTTTGCAGACAGAGAGTTACAGGACTCTCTCACAGACCACAGACTCATACTCATAATGCAAGTCAGAGCTTAATAAAGAAATAAAAAGAAAAAAATTAGAAAGTTGTGTTTTCAAAATTGGAGTTCAAGTTATTTTTACTTCCAGTAGTGTTAACATACTACACAGGTCATGAACAAGATTTTTTTTACATTTTCATTGTAAGTGGACTAAAGCAGTTAATTTAAAGTAGTCTAACATAAATGTAAATGCTGTAATTTGATTATTTTAATGAACCATGTAACTTGGATGGATTCGATGCTGGCGTGACCACAGTGCACACGTCTGCTGTTGCTCACAGTGGTCCAAGGGATCGCTCAGGGAGTTTGTGTGTTCGCTCAGACACATGAAAAATTAGAGGGAACATTGGTCACGAGTGTGCGAATGCTGTACTCACAGTCGGCCTGGGCACAGATGAGGCAGGCGGTGGTGCTGTTGAAGAAGGTGAGAAGGCCGGCCACGGCCAGGCTGATGTCGGTGTTTGTTGGTCTCAGGTCCAAAGTGGTGAAGCGGGGGAAATGAACCTTCAAAATGTCCTCTGGAGCCACCTTGACATAGGGCACCTGCACAGAGACACTGATGTCAGACTATGCGTTCCACTTTAATTATTTGCTACTGAGATGTAGGAGTTTTTGCTTTTGAGGTGATGTTTAAAATGCAGCAGACGTCTACAAACAGGAGAAGCGTGAAAAAAAAAGAGATTAAAATCAAGAGAATGTGGATGCGAACTGCAGGATAAAATAGCAAGTTGCCAGCAGTCAGTCAAAGGAAAGAATAGCTCAGATTAAATCTGTTAAATCTGTTATGATGAACTACAGGCAAGGATAGCCCGAGGGTCTGTGGTAATGGGCATATTCAAAAAACACATATTTTTCAGTGAGTGAGGCACTGAGGCTCGTGTAATGTACTAGTCTGGATCTAAAAACGTGTTTTTGTTCCACCCACGCAAACAAGCCCTCGTTAGAGAAATCTTCAGCGTGGCACCGCCTCATCACCAGTTATGAAACATTTGTTTACCTGGCTCACAATGGGGCCGCTCAGCTGCGCACATTTAAGTTAAACATCCATAAAGCACACGCATGCACACAAATGAATATATAATATATATTTTAGCGGTTATTTATTTATTTTCTTTGTTACCCGATCTTCAGTAATGAAAAGATTTTCTGCGGTATGAGAACTGGCACTGTGTGGCCACAGCTTTCACAGGCGAGGGTGGCAAAAGACAACATTGACAAGGAGATTAAAGTACAGACTCTGAACTTTAATTTGTGAAGAAGTTGTAGACCACAGACCATAAATTTTGAATGAAAAAAATAATTAAGTTTACCGAGAAGGCAGAAGCTCTGTAAAAGTCTTTGGTTTTTTTGCCATTTGTTGCTCTGTCTTCCAGCAGGAATACAGAGCCAAGTGAAGCGTGGCCAAAGGATAATCCCATGAAATTTTGGTGCAGATCTGAACTGATCGGGGAAAATATCCAGATATTTATGTAGTTTTCACATCACTGAAGAGCAGACTATTGGTCTTGACAGAGGTCACAACTCTCAGAGCACCTTTCTAGTTGGATTATGGAACATGAACCCCAATAACATCAACAAAACCATGGTATCATCCCTGGTGCTCTGTCAGTTCTCTAATGCATCACCTCACTTGTTTCTTACCTGCTTTAAACATATCAAATTCAAAGCGTTAGTGATCTTACTGCCAGCCCACATCAACAGATGGCTCCGCTGATGGCCTTCTACATATCCAAACAACAAATCTCATATTGGGCATGCTGTTTAAGCTGCTTTAACCTTCCCACGGCTGCTGGCTGCTGTGCAAACTGCTTTGCAGCCCACTTCCACCCCAGCTCCTTCTTTCATGCTGTGGAAGACCTAATAAATATCACGACTGCATTGCTCTCTGTTGGGGTCTTGCTGCTGCTGCTCTCTCCGCTTCCATTTATACATATGGAGTGAAGGGGAGGTCTCAGGTTACTGCAGGAGTTGGCTGCAGGTGGATTTTTTTTGACTGTAGCTGTTCTGACTGAACACGAAATCTTTAGCAGAGGTTAAATGATTACCCTGACCACTTAGAAATACTCTACTTAGCAATAAATTTTAGGAACTGTAGAATAACAGTTATCACAAGCAGCCACAAACACTGTATAATTACAGAGCAAACAGCAAAAATAATAAATATATCATTCTAAAAACTTAAAAACACAATGCGTGCTTTTAAAAATGGCCGTACGCATTCAATAATACCTAATAGAGTTAAATTACTACATTGAGTATTGCATCTTGTCATTAAAGTGCACGCTTTATTATACCAGTCCTCTAAAAAAGGAAGTGGACTAAAGGTACGAGTACAAGAAAGCCAGCCAAGCATCATTAAAAATCAATAAATATCTAATTCTTCAATTCCAGACTCACTGTGATTCACACTTCTCAATGAGATTGAGTCCAAGGCTTTTATAGCAATGATTTGCTGTAGCTGTATAAATAGCTGTATTCCTTAGCCACTCCTAATGAATTTATCATCCTGACACTAACAGGTCTATCTAACACCGTTCTAACAGCAGCACATCACTGCTGTCAGAAGCGAGGTTAAGTATACCGCAGCTAACCTTGGAGCCATCGAGGTTCTCAGAGTTCAGCAACAAATCTGAACCGGGGCTGCCAACAAATCTGCTGAACTTCAGAAAAGTCATAAATTACATTCTCCCTCTATTCAAAAACACGACTCCCATCTATTTCCCTCCGATGAAATCCATCTCTGCTTCAGTTCCCAATGTGATAATGTGAATGGATACATGCTGTCGGGGCTCACAGTGAAACCTGGGAGGAAATAGGGAAAGCGGGAAAGTGCGAATGAGTGTGGTAGGTGTCGGGTTGGTCAGCTGGCAAGGCACTGCAGTAGAGCGCAGTGGGGCTTGAAGGGGACGCAGGAGGACGTGCTGGGTCCGAAAGCAGGAGCAGGGAAGGGAGCCTCTTCATCATGCCAGATTGCCTGTCTGTGTGTTTCCCAGCACCAATACATTGCTTTTCCCCCTTGCACCCATACACCCACAATTGGTTTTCCATCCCTGCCCATCAGGGTGTAATGGAGTCCCTGAATGTCTGAATGGATGGAGGCTCGGCCCCTACTGACATCCTCTGTTCGAATGCAATTCATTCCCATCTAAAAGTGCTAAAATCAGACTAATATCCAAGCATCACACCGGGGAAAATGTGGCCCTGTTTAGGTGTGTCCTGGTGCATTTTCGCAGTTGTTTTTACTAAAATGTCCTCATTTATAGCTCTACCACTCCAGATTGTTTATTCTTCCTTTATTCCTCCTTCTCTACCCAGTCTTTCCTTCCTTTTCAGCACCGAGGACTGTTGCTATCCGCCCCTGATGACTAAGGGAACCTGACACGCTTCGATAGGCCGTATTTGAAGCAGTGCGGCTTTAGAAAGCTGCTTACAAAGACACACACACACATTTACAGTCACATGCATACACACGGATACATATACTTTGTCCTTTTCCATCAAATTGGCCCACTGGGCCCAACTGCTATAAACGCTGGGGTCCCAAGGGATCTGCTTGGCTCTGAGTCTTGAATCATCATCAAATTCCACAGCATGCAGGCAAGACTCAAAAAGAAAATACCCAAATAGACAACCTAATCATTTCTCATGAATTTACCATATTTATTGGAATAACTTCATTAAGCCCCGTTATTTTATAGTGAAAATCCACTCAGTGATTATTTGCCTTTTCATAAGATAAATACAGTGAAAATGGCTGTTTAACTACTGACTAAATGCAGCTAACAGCAAGGCAAGCGAGGACGTTATATATCATAAACAAATTTCCCTTTGGTCACAGCAACATGATTAATTGGTTGTTAAACGGGAGCAGTCGATGCGCTCATCGTGTGAAAAAGTGTTTAAAATCAAGAGTTTAAACAGGGCTACCGAAAGCAACGAAAATCAATCTCCACATTACTAACAGAAAGCTGTCAGCCACATCAAAGTCACCTGCCAGACTTCTTATCTGCAACCACCAGCTAGTATCAGTCACTCTGCTGGTCGATTAATCCCCCCACCACCAAAAAAACCAAACATCTTTCCTACATGTGTCTTTGCAGGGCACAGCTTCAAACCAAACAGCTGCACCACTTTCAGTTTAGCTTTGGCACAAACTCACCGTCAATCCTGATCTACGCCGAGTTAATTTTGAGCCAAACTGGCAGGTCTCACTATTTACGACTTGTTGATTCTCTCCAACTGACAACAGCAGCAATTGTGCAGATTTGTTGTAATGGTTAAAGTTGCACTTTTCACTCTTCTCTTAGAGTATACAATTAAGCAGACAATTCTTATCCAGCTAACATCTAATTTTATAATCTAGGAGTCACTCCTGTCTTTGTTATTTTCTTATATTGATCTTATTTTCAGTCAAATTGATACCTGCATGTACACTCGCCCACTTTGTTTGCTACACTGTGCTAGTTCTGATTTGGTGCCCGTTTTTCCTTCCGAACTGTCCTAATTCTGGTCCACATTGACATGACGGCATCACAAAGTTGCTGACGATTTGTTTGATGCACATCTATGATGGGAACGTCCCAAAGGTGCTCTATTAGACTTGTCACTGCAAAAGCTGTTTGAGATCAGAAAATACGACAATGTGGACAGAAAGAGACGGACATGTCAGGATGCTCCACACCACCAGCAGTCTGAACTCTTGACACAATGCAGACTGGATCCATGCTTTCATGCTGTTTGCAAGAAATTCTGATGCTACTGTCTGCTGCCAAATCACAACAGCAGTGGCTTTGAGGTGACTGCTGTTGTGATTTGGGATTCAAACCAGGAAATCTTTTTCCAGTCTGCTATTGTCCAATTTTTAGTGAACCTGTATGAATTGTAGCCTCAGTTTAGTGTTCTTAGCTGTTAGGAGAGGGTGCTGCTGTAGCTCATCTGCTCTAAGGTTCAGTGTGCTGTGCATTCAGAGATGCACTTCTACATCGTTTGGTTGGAGTGAGTGGTTATTTGAGTTCCTATTTTCTTCCTATCAGCTCAAAACAATCTAGCCAGTCTCATGTCCACACATTTTTACCCAGAGAACTGACGCTCACTGGATATTTTCTCTTTTTCAAACCACTCTCAAACCATTCCACATAAACTCTACACAACAGCTGAGCCACATTCAAAATCACTTTTCTTCCTCATGCTGATGCTCAGTTTAAACTTCAGTGGGTCGTTTTGACCACATCACATGCCTGCATGCACTGAGTTGCTGACATGTGATTGACTGATTAGATATTTGCACTGATAAGGTGTACCTAAAGAAGTTGCCAGTGAGTCTATGGTGAATGTTATGCTCGCCTTAACACCTCTTAACAGATGCTTACGTTTATAGTTTGTTCCCTCTATGGCAAAGCCCTGAAAACAAGCTGACAATAAGTCACTGTAACTCTTAAGGATTCAGTTAAATATGGGGATCCCGTTCCATCAAGTGCTGGGACTACTTGGGCTTCCACATGCTGAAAAGTCCCATCATGTCCACTTCAAGTTATAGCCTGCTA